CCTGGCATTGCCACCACGGGAAAGGTGTGCAGGGGAAGGCTCAATTCCCACACACTTGGGCTCACAACACTGGCAGGTCATTGTTTAACAGGTTTGAACCTGTTCCTGAGAGGAACAAGAGACTACAAAGGCACCTCTGGGAGGCTGAAACCTGTGGAAAGATCCCTATTAGGAGATGCCCATTAGGGTGCCCATCCCTGCTCTGCTATCACGCAGCACTGTGGAGGAGCCCGTGGCCTCAGGGTCCTGCCAGTCTGTAATCCAGACATTAACATGGATAAAGTCACATCAGCACTGCCTTTGGGACTCTGTGGCCAAGCATGTTCTATCCAGATCTTGCCTGGGGGTTTCCCTCACCGAGAGCCCATCCCTGGCTGCAGGCTCTGCCTCAGCCGTGACAGCACCAGGGTGGTGTCCTGCCCCCACCCTGCCTGTGGGCATGTTCTGAAGGCTTTGGGGCAAACCTCACTGAAGTTCCTGACTGGGAGTTTTGTTTGGGTTTTTTTCATTCCTTTCCCCGCCAAAATCCAGGCTCAATTTTTACCGGGAGAAAGCAGAGCTTGAGACAACAATCCTAGAAAACCTGGAGTTTGTCCAAGGAAGACCAGATTCACAACCCCCCCACATCCTTTGACTCTCAAACAGATACGTCAAAGTCTAGGTTTGGCTTCTAAGTGTCTGAAGGAGGACATTTTGCATGAGCTCAGAGGCCACCACATGAATTGATGGGCAGCTCTAAGTCTTGGCAGGCAGTGGTGCATCCAGTCATGTTTCCCATCACATCCATGGCCATCCCAGAGAGCAGAGCTGTGTGGGGACTGGGAAAGGCCCACCCTGAGGGCACAGGGACAAACCCAGCATGGCTTGGCACTCCTGGACTTTGCTCAGGCACTTTTCCAGGGCAGTAGTGGAGGGGCAGGAGAGCCCCACTGTGACATCAGTGGGGGGATGTGGTCATGGGGCTGCTCGTGGGGTCACCTAAGGAAGGGACAACAGTCCTTGAGGTGCTGCTGCCCAGTGGAGAGTAAATTCACAGGTGAGTGAGCATTTGAGGCTCCTAAAGTGCAGTGCAGGTTATATGGTCTTTGCTGTAGACTGTAAACTCCCCAGGACAGACTCCTTGCCCTTATTGTTTTGGGTTTTTAATCTGTAAAGTGACATTCCAGCTGAGAAAACCTTACCTCTAAATAACTATTACTACAGGAAAACAGGAATCTCGGTGAAAGGAACAGCCTGTGCTCCCCTTGCCAGCATCCCATGATGGGGAGTGCTTCCCATGGCCAAACATAGTCTATCCACGAGGAAATGGCACTGTGTTCCTGCCAGCCATGGACCTCTGGAATGCACCCTCCAAAACACCACCTCCGGTGCTACAACCTGCCTTCCTCCAAGCAAAACTTCCATTTATCATTAAAGCTGAGGTGTAAATTCAGGCTCTGTCCCCAAGGGAGTCTGCAAAGCTTCTGTTCAGGCTGTTGGGTGTCTTGAAAGGGAAATAGAGATGAAAAAGTTGCTGGGAGGAAATTTGAGGGAACTCTCTGGAGAAGCCAAGTTCAGCCTCATGTTTGCACCAGGAGCAAGACCTTCCCCAGAAAAAACATCAGCAGAAGCAGGAGCTCTCATGGGATGTGATGCTCACTCCTCTCTAGGTTTCTTCCCAGGGTGCAAAGTTAGAAACTACCCAATCCATTCCTCCTTCAGGACACCTCTAACCAGCATCCAGAGCCAGCTCCAATGGTCCCTCTAACCCAAGGAGACGCTGAGTGCAAGGCCAGGCATGAACACTGCTAGACTTCCACCAACCTTCAGAAACTTGAGCAAGACCAGACTTCACACTTGGTGTAGGTTCACAGATGTGCCATGGACATGCTGGTCCCTACAGTGTCCATTTTTAGATGAACTAGAGATGTCCAAGAGGTTCCTGATGGAGCTTAAGGACCACAGCCTTCCATTAATATCTCCAAGCAGAACAAAACTGGCTTATTTACTGTTCCACTGACTCCAGCCCAATCCATCTGTGTGCACTCAGGGTGTTCTTCCCCCCGTTGGCAGTCATATTTATTATTTTTAATCTATGCCCATAAATTGGCAAGTAGGGGAAAGCAGATAAAATGGAAAGAGGAGCTCTCAGGAGATCAGTTGGGCTCATTAAATGTTTGGCACTCCGTGATTATCCACTGGCAAAGAAATGCCACTGCTATATTTTAACATGGAACATGATACCTTAATATACAGGAGAATCTCCTCAGCCCAATTCTGGTACTCTTGAGAGAGGAGAAATTCAATCATCTGTGACCTGGATTGTATTTTTTAATGTCTGCCAAGCTAGATAAAATATTTAAATATTCACTTTTATATCAGCCCACATGAGGATTTGAGCATTTCAGGTTGTGTAACACAGCGTGGCCTACTTTGGGAAGAATATCCGGGAATAGGCACATATGTACAAAATATGGAGTGTGCAGCATGTGGGTCAGACAGACAGTGCTAACGAGTGGGGCACAACCAACTCCAGCAGCGCCAGCCCAGGAACTGGTGTTGCTTCTGTTGGATTTCATAGGTCACCTGGGCAAAAAGCAGATGAATGTGCCTAAAATAAAGCTGGTCATGCTCCAGCGTGGCTGAACTGTCGGGTGAAGGTTCTGAGGATGCAGTGGCTGTGTCATGAGATCGGGGCTCTCAGTGCCACCATGTGGTATTAATGGTCTGATTTGATGATCTTAGAGGTCTTTTCCAACCTTAGCAATTCCGGGTGCTTGCCTGCCTTGTGGTGCTGTTGGGAGAGTTGGGAAGAGCATCACTGTGACCAGACCAGAAATGGGTCCTACAGCCCACCCTGACTACACAGGTCACCTCTCCACCAGCTACAGCAGAAAGCTGAGCAACGAGCTCTGCTGCAGATCTCACTGGGATGAGGATGGGGCCGGGGATCAGCCCCATTCCCTGCTATCAGGACAGCTTAAGGGCTGCCATGGCAATTCAGATCCCTGGAAGAGGAGGATCATGATGTTTGCAAGCAATGGGCAATGCTGGGAGGTTATGCTCCTGCCGACTTGCTTTGGACTTGAGCACATGAAATGTGTTTGTGTTATCAAGGGCTGGAGATTGTAAGCAGAATATGAATGGTGAGGATGTGCTGGGATGCCCAAAGGGGAGAGGATGGTGTAAGGAGTGAGGAAGAGTGGGCAGGGGAGCCTTGCTACCTGCCCTCCCGAGGCTCCCAGCTGTACACCCACTCTGCAGATGTGGCCTGTGCACAGGGCAGGCAAGGACTGAGGGAACTAGATGACCTTCAAGGTCCCTTCCAACCCAAGCCATTCTGACTGTCAAGCGTTTTGCTATGGAACAGCATCGACCCTGACACTGGCATGGGTTGACTGACAGCTGCCAATCCCAAGTGCAGCACAGCTGTGGGGAGGTGACAGGGCAGTGGGAGGCTACAGGGACAGTCCTGACCTGCCACACACCGAAGTCCTGCCAGAATGACCACAGTTCCAATGTGACACACACAAAGCAACTGGTGCACGAAAAGAAGGGGCTTGATCTTCCAGGGGCACTCGACCACTCTCCAGTTCTCACCAGGACTGGCTCGGCTTTGCAGAATTGGGCCAGTCAGAGATCCAAGGGACAAGCCAGTCCCATGTGTCCCTGAGCCCTTTCCCAGGGCTGGTGGGACTCGGCTCTGCCTGAGCCCCCACTTGGTTCCCCCACTGACTCTGCAGCCCTTCGACCCCCATAACAGGTAAGAGCAGCTCCCTCAGCCCCTGCTATTCTCCCTCCTCATAAAATTTATTACTTTTTCTGAATTATCCAAATAAATCCACTTTCTCTTCACACACAAACAGTATTACGATTGTGTCTACGTTAATAACGCTCCACAATAAACACCACCAGGAATCTGCTGAAATGTTGCTCTGAATTTTTACAACACTTCCTTCTGAACATGTTCCAGGTCAAATCCCAGCTGCTTTCCCAAGGAAGGCCCATCACAGGCATCACAGGGGCTCTCTGTCTTGGCCAGGCTTTGGTCAAAAGCTTTTGCAGCCAGTTCCCTGTGTTTCAGAGGGTCTACATCAGAAACGAGAGCTCTTGGTGAGCACCAAGCATCAGGAATTTCCTGACCTCCTGGTGCACTGTGTCTCCCTGTCTCCTTTGGTCAAGCCCTGCTTCCTTGGGTTTTGTAGATGAGCTATTCCATGCATCCTAGTGCTCTTCTGCTTCTTGCCTTGCCCTCTCCCACATCCATGCTGCCCCTCTGCTCAAGCCCACTTGGCACCACAGCTCACAGTCCAGGAGTGGAGATGTGGGAGGTGTCACTCCCAAGGGACAAGAGACCATTTTGTGGCAGTCAAGAGAAAGGAGAGCTCCTGGGGGCATTTCTCAGCAGCTGGGCAGAGGATTCACCACATCTGGCCATGAAAAGTTTCTCACGGGGAGAAATGAGCAGATGTTTGGGGTGTTGTTCAACACCAGCACTTCTCAGGGTGAGGAACCAGCAACCTGGTCTAGAGGAAGGTGTCCCTGCCCATGGCATGGGATTGGAATGAGGTGAGATGTAAGGTCCCTTCCAACCCAAAGCACTCTAGGATTCTATGAACTTAAGGATGAGCCTTTGGGTCCCCACCATACCCTCCCACCTCCTTTACTGGCCTGGTTGCTTCTGGAGAGTCAAAATCCTACTGTTGTAGCCATTACCTACATGGCTACTGGGAGAGGCAGAGAGGCAGGCACAGAGTCCAGGCTTTCCCCAGAAGAGCTGCAACATGGGGCCTCAGTTTTCCCCCATTCAGAGCCTCGTGGTATAAGGGAACACAAGAGAGGGCCTGGGGACACCACTCTGGCAAGTCCACAGCTGGTCCTGGCCCATTTTCCACTCATGGGGAATGTCTCCCAGCTCTCTGCAGGTTTTTGCACCTGACTGTGATATTTTCAGTATTCCCTACCCCTTCTCTCTGCCTTCCTGTGCCTCCTCCCTCCGTGAAGGGAGGAGAAAAGTCCCAGTTCATTGCAAGGGATTGGACTCAATGGGCTTTAAAGGTCTCTTCCAATCCCAACCATTCTGTGATTGTCCAGGGAATGACAGTACGATGGGAACCATCCCTATGGAGCTGCTGCTAAACATGGTGCATCACCCTCAGGGGAAGGAGGCTCCTGCTCATGGGCAGCCTTTGGAGTTGCCTGAGCCCAAAAACTCTGACAGTAGAGGGTCCCCAGGCCCATGTAGGGCCATCCCCGAGCTCCCATGGTGGCACCAGCTGTGCAAACAGGCTTCTTCTCCAGGAGCTTCTCGTTACCACAGTTACCGTCCAGCTGGAAAAGCACTGCTGCCCCTGGGGCTCCCTCCTCGCGCAAAGCACACTCAGGGCCAGCCTCTGCTCCTGCTCCAGGTGTAAACCCAGAGCAATCCTATTAACCTGCCTTCAGAGAATTTTGGAAGTCATTAAATGTGAAGGTGCTGCTAATGTCTGGTCTCACTGCCTCTGAGGTGTATCCTACCAGTGCTGCTGCTGCCCGCAGGGTTTTGGACAAAGTGTAAAAGCAAAGCTCCTGGACGAGTGGGGCCGCCCGCACGGCAACGGTGGGGGAGGCACCTGTACACACCCGGGGCAGAGCTGGGGGCTGCTCCAGCCCAGCCCAGCCCAGCCCAGCCCGGGGCCCCTCAGTCTGACCACTCATTCTCGTCCAGCTCGGAGTCGTCGTCGGACTCGCTGTACTCCACCGCGATCCGCCGCGACAGGATCGTCGCCACGTCATTGCCCACAGGCTCTTTCTTGGCCTCTTGTTCCCACTGCTCCTGGACTTTCCGGAGTTGGATCCCTGTGGTAGGAAAAGGGGGAAGGCTTTAGGAGCAGCGCAGCCTATGTGCAGCATCCTCCCATTACATAGTGTTGGCTGAAACGAGATGGCTGCAGCCCTGAGCGGGAGGATGTAGGTCATTACAAAGCTATATGAGATCATAGGATTGGTAGGACAAGGGGGAATGGCTTTAAACTGAAGGAGAGTAGGCTTAGATGGGATATTGGGAAGAAATTCTTCCCTGTGAGGTGGGGAGGCCCTGGTACAGGTTGCCAAGAGAAGCTGTGTCTGCCCCATCCCTGGAAGTGTCCAAGGCCAGGTTGGATGGGGCTTGGAGCAACCTGGGATAGCAAAAGGTGCCCCTGCCCACGGTAGGAATGACATGGTCTTTAAGGTCCCTTCCAGCCAAAACTATTCTGTGATTCTATGAATAATGCAATGTGTGTGATTATGAAGCTCTATCACAGAATAAAACTCCTTCTCTGCTTCCATTCACCTGAAGATGTTGAACCTTCTGGAAGGTTAAATTTACCACTCGACCTCAAGATTTGCAGGAAGGGGAAGTGGGAGAGACCTTGGAGCACATCATCCTCTACAGCCTGAAAGGAATCCAGTAATCTGTGGGGCTTCATTCCACCTCTGGCGATGAGTCTCCAGCCTCTCCCCAACACCCTGCACTGCACTTCATTCCCCAGCTCAGGTTCCACCTGGGTGTCACCATCTTCACCCCTCACCTTTCCACCCAGGGCCTTATCTTGCACTCAGTGAAGCCGATGCTTCCCCGACTCTACTCCAAGAGGTATTTTGCCCCTGCGGTGACACTGTGGGGACCTGCCCCCCTTCCCACTGCCTCTACCCCGCTGCCCCCTCACCCCTGCGGATGGCTGCCAGCAGGTCACTCCGGGCGTCGCTCATGGGCATCAGCGGGATCTGTGGCTTCCGAGGCTCC